GAAAATAATTACTATAACCATGGCGAAGAGAAAAGATTGTACAAACCTGTTGTGACAAACGGTGGGAACCAATTGCCATGGTAACGGACAAAACTGTTGGCATGGCAATGGGAATACCACCAATCAGTAGAACAAGGAGATTGGCAATACCTTCGGTAGCCTTCCTATGTTGCATTGCAAACATGACAATAGTCTCAAATAGCAACCCCGTGACAATTGAGCATATACAGAAATTACCAATAGCCGTCAACACCTGAAGCAAGGAAAAGTATTACCTTCACTATTAGAAAGAATAATTAGATTTCACTTGCATGTTTACTCCTAGGCGAACCTCAGGACCATTAATACAACGCAACAGCAGTCGTTATAGCTGCATCATTTTCATAATGGAATCCATCCCAGTACAACCCCTATCGTCTAGCATATGTTCACTTGCCCTTAGAACTTGAGGTGCAAAAGAAAATTAGAAATCATATGAGAGGATGCATTTAAGCTTACTTTCTGAAAATGACCAACATTTGTAGTGCTTTCCACCAAATGAGCTGCCTTTCCAAAGAAAGTATGCAAACCAGTTGCAATAACAACAGCCTCAATTTCACCTTGCTTACATGTCGAACCTGAGTATATTACATCACCAGGATTCTTGGTAACAGGCAGGGATTCTCCTGTAAGAGCAGACTGAAAGCAGAAAAAAGTACTCAAAAACTGGGTTTTATAGATGCAAAATTGCTATTTTTATACCATGTTCGTTTTCCTTTTGCCACATTAATTGCAGTAGCATCATTTTGATTACAGAAACTCCATTGGCCATAATCAATTCACTAGAAACATTAAAAAATAACTGACACACTTGGGTGATCTTCTACTTCTTCCACGTGAATCTAGTTTTGGTTTTCTGCAATTGCAAAACGTGGATATTTGTGCATCTTGTTTGATTATACTGACAAAATTTCTACTGGGAAAAAGTGCAAGAAGAATAAAGAGATATTATCAATTGTAAAATAATAATTGAGGTTCAGAAAGTCAGTTAGAAAAGGAGAATGAGGAAGATGGCCCCATAAAGGTTTACATCCATTAGCTAGTTTGAAAATTTTAAGATTTGATATTTGCACAATTTTCTTCAGAGCTCTATTCTGTTTTACACAATAATGATGCAAACACTTGACAGTTAGTTTCATATGGCAAAATGTGTCAATTTCTACAGAGAACTAATATATAGCACCTGATCAATTTTCAATGGATCTCCTTGGAGTAGTCTTGCATCTGCAGGGATGATATCTCCTAGTTTTATGCTTATAATGTCTCCTGGAACCAGCACAGATGCATCTTCTTCATTCCATTTGCCATCCCGCAAAACCTAATGGACATATTTAGACATTGTCAAAAGACATGTAGTCCAAATAAAGAACTTGCTGAAGAAGTAACTGTGCCAAATACTTCTCCAGAAACTGACCTTAGCCTTTGGAGCCAATCGAGCCATAAGAGCTGCAGCTGCATTTCCAGCGTTATTTTCCTCCATAAAACTGATGGTTGAATTGATGAGAAGTAATATGAGAATGCCAACAAAGTCTTGGTAATCAACTTCTTTTTTCTTATCCTGCAACATGATATTTTATGGCAGCAATCAGGCATGATTTTCATGTAATGTGAGCTTCCACTAGATTGTTTTATGCACGTATAGTATGAGATCAGATGTAAAGAAGTACCTCACCACGTGGAACTGCAATAGCAATAATAGCTGCTGCTTCCATGACCCAAGAAAGAGGATTCCACATAAAGCCCAAAAACTTGAGTATTTTACTCTCCTTTACATAGGAAAGGTATGGACAAAGTCCCAAACAAAATTAAGAAAGCGAAATGCTGAATTTGAGGGATGTGCTGGGATAATCATAACAAGGGAGAAAGGTTAAAAATGCATAAACAACAGACCTTCTTCTCTTCAAGTTTATTGTAGCCAAACACACCCAAACGTGCTCGAACCTCATCAGAACTGAGACCCTCTTCGGTACATTTTAAATTTTCAAAGACTTCTTCAATAGGAATGTGTTCCTGTGATAATAGTTGATGATATAGATGATAAGATATGGGGATGAATGCCGAAACCCAGGAGCAACAATGATACCAAAGCGTAGGAACTGACTCTGTTGCCCGTCATTGATGTGTAGACATCATGAAAGTCACGATGATCCAGATTAATTATATTCATTCAAAGAGTGTCCTTTCACTTTGAGAAAGTCAAGGCAGGAAATCCATGAATGCAGTAACAAATGATCAATTCAGTGAAAATAGGCATATACCAGGCACTGTCCACATGCCGGCAGAAATAATTGATGAAACAAGCCAAGATGCATCACACTGATCCATCAAAGGGACACATTTGGGTGATCTTGATGAATAATACAGCTTACTGGAATTTTTGCACATGTTTATTTGCTGTTCAAGGGAAACTATATCACCTATCCAAGAAGATGGATGGCCCCTAGTTGTGAGCAGAAATGACCAATTTCTCTCATTCATTGATTCCTCTAAGAGTCTTCATTTCCATCTTGAGATGGGCATTTCATATGAAAAAGAGGACTTTTTCTAAAAGTGAATTGATTGTTCCCTAAGAAGACAGACATACAGTTACGACTCCTCGCATAGGAGATGTCATGTACGTACAATGCAGAACATTGTGAACCATGACAGAATGAGAGTTGACAAGTGCTTACCAAGTCAACAGTTTCTTTGCTAACAGCTTCCAAGGCTAATGTAGATTTCTCTGCATCCATTGCAGCTTCCCAGCTTCGATCTCCTCTGAATCACGGCTGGAATGTCTGTGCAGAAGAAAGTTTTACTAAATTGCCAAAAAAAAAAAAAAACTCAATACTGCCCTATAGCTTTTCCAGCTGTTTCCACTATGGGGCTGGTGATAAATGTCAGATAACGCTTTTGTTGCCCATTATACACAAATTTTGATATCCAGATTCTTTTCTACTTGAGTTTGAACAAAATTCAACACCTAAGGTGCATTAAAATCAATTGCATCGATGTCATGTAGGAAAATGATTGGTTTAGAGCTTAATGTTACCTTTTCAGGGGAAGATACTAAGCGAAAACCAGACCAGGTACCTCAAACTCCCTTTCTCTTATGTGCATTATAACCTTCATAAGTACCACCATTGTGCAGAAATATGCGGCAAAGTTGCTCAGAAGAATAAACACTACTATTTTTCTTCTATTTGAAACAGAGAAAGCCAGTTTGGTCAAAAATTTGAAACTTTTAATTAGGACAGGAAACAAGAACAAGGAGTAAAAATTGAGTTTGCATCATTTTCTAAACTGTATTTATTTTCGATTGCTGGGATGAAGTACGATGGTTTGCAAGTAGCATAATTCTAAAACATGAAAAGACAACAGAATTAGCATATTGGATAGTACAATGTAAGATCAACTGTACCTACAGAACTTCCAAGGTAGTTTTCATCAATTCAGAATGACTTTGCGATATTAGTAATAGCCAGGAGGAACCCTATTGTCCAGAGCTCAAAGAAAGAGAGAGCAGGCAACCATCAATGGTGTTCTTTAAGTAAATATACAAGTACATATCTAAGCCAACAAATCAAGTATTGACATTACAAGTTGTTTACATGCCAGCTTTTTGACAGAAACCAGAGATTGAAAAAGAACAAAAACTGAAACGGGACACTTCAGAAGAGGACAGAATCTTTCACTCTGAAGCTTCGCCAGCAGCATCAGCACAGATGAAGGACAATTTCCAAAGCCAGAAAAATAGCACGTTCCGTAACTTGTATACCAATATTTTGGATTTATTGTTCAGTACAGCACTAGAATTTGAGTTTCATGTACTTCTTTTTATTGAATGAATTTTGTTGTTGCATTGTCTCAAACGTGTTATACAACCAATGTGATTTCATGAAAGTCCAAACTTCAAGTAGCAGTCAAACAATGCTGTACAACTATCAACAGGTTAGCAACTGTGACTTCTCAAAATTGTACACACTCAAGTACTTTTGCTTGAAAAGGTTTATCAATTAGCTGCGCTTATCTTTGTTTTTGCTGTTAATATAATTCTTTTTCATAAAATGTAGCTGGACGAATCAGCCGTTTCACTTAAGCAGTAAGAGCCCCTTAAGGACAAGCATATTCTAAACCAATGTGGACGATAGTTCAATATCTTGTCCGTTGCATTTTTTTTTCAGTTGCATTTTGGCTCGAAAGCTTCCAAGTTCGATAATTGCAGTTGATCTGGTGAGATTTTTTGCCTGATACTTGAGGATACCTTAGAACAGATAGAATCATTCAGGTTTGATTCCCCTACCCCTGGTTATATCTATAAAAATAAAAAATAAAAACATCCTAAAAAATGTTGCGACTTGCAGAAAAATGTTTTATTGTCAGGAATCCGTGTTGATGTCCTAATTATATAGCCAAACAGATGATTAATTTAGATGACACAAACCCAAAAATAGAAAAATTTTAAAAAAGCTATCATTTGGTTTGGAGTTAAATCTTTTACTTATTAGGTTTCAAACTTCTTATTATAAGATAGTCCAATCTAAACTTGAACAGATGCTAAGTTTTACTCATTTGTTAGTGTTCATTGCAATGAGTGGTGGGCAACCTATTCTTTAGCCTTTCCCACTGAATTCTACCTGGAGATGGAAACAATGTTCTAAATTCTTATCCTGCAGCAAATTGGGGTGGGAAAATCTTTACTCTAGTTTTGTTCTTTTTTTTTTATTAATTTTTTCCTAACAAGGGAGCACTTAGATATGATTTAAGATGCTGAGAAGGGAGAATTTTTCTTTTTCTCCTTTTTCTAGGTTTGTCCTTAATCTCTTATCGCTTTTGCTGCCATTGTAGATAACAACTTGTAATCAAAGCATTTACGACATACTACTATGGCTAGCATTTTAAAATATGTACTAGGGGAGAGAGCAGTAAATTATTAACTTCGTAAAATCAAAAGAATTCTCCGTTGCTTTTGGCAGGCATCATATATAATTGGAGAAGATAAGTTAGACGTTATGACACTTTCGGAAATTAGTCCAATTATCACTGCCTAAAAGTGGTACACCGTTTGCAGAATTTCTGTACGCAATTGAATCCTGAAGAACAAAACATTGTAGACTGAAAAGGGTTTTGTCGAAAAGGATCAGTCAAGAATGTTGTGCAATTTCTTGTCCCATTTCCATCACCTCGATAAATCAAGGTTGAAATCCCAAAACATCACCATCAGGGATTCATAAAGTTTTAACAATGGTGAAAGAAATGGCATAAAAGATTACGTACGATAACTGCCAAATGGGGGATATTACATGCCTGGCTGGCTTTAGGGAAATTATCGAGGTAGTTCATTGGCTAATACGGGAAAACAAATAATTTTAAGATTCAATTGTACGTTTTCCGGCTATAGAACCACCTTACCTTAAGAACCAATTTGGCTTGGGACACGATATACCCTATTGTATGCGGATTGTTGTTCTCAATATTTGTGCAAGTTATTTGTAGTTTTGATCAGATGCACCCTTTTCGCATTCATCCCACCATTAATTGTCGGTTTCAATTGTAAGTTAGCAATATCAAAATAAAGAAAAATGGGACAAGGTCCTTTTTTTTGTTTTAGAATATAACAGAAGTCAATGTTAATAAACTATCGTTCAACACGCTTTAATTAACAAACAAAACTACACTAATGGCAGAAAATATATAAAACATTACACATGTGTGCGCCGTGTGTGATCTGTAAACCATCAGTTTTGACCAATTATATGATCTACTGCTATATATATATATATATATATATATATCTATACATGTCGATTTCCTCACATCTACTATTCGTCTGATTCAAATTCAAATTTGATATTGAGATCTGACTAGAAAACACAAGAAATTCCAAATCTAACATATAGATCTGAAACAACTCTTAAATCTAAAAAAAATAACAAAAAACTAATCAAATCCCTCATTAAGATAGTTTAGAAGGGAAGAAAATTTCACTGGCAAATATTAGAAGGGAAAAAATTCTTGCTAGAATATCCTAAGAGATATTTTTATTAAACATAAAAGAAAAATAAAAGAAAAGGAAGGGAGACCCCAAAAAAAGTCATAAAATGATAGCTATGGAAGTGTAGCGTTGAGAATAGAGAGAGCAGAGCGAGTCCATTCTAACATGCAAAAGAACCCATTCTAACAACTAGACAGATTACGATTCATATATAACAGCTAGCTGATCTATGCTTCAAGTTATCTATTATTGTCCAAGTGCAAAAAAATGTAACATCCGTATTTGGGATTTGGCCAAACTACAGTACCATGTTCACATAATTCCCTCCCCCCCCCCCCCCCCCCCGCCCCCGGGGCAATTAAAGATTAGATGAAGAAACTAGCTAGTCCTCACTAGTCACAAAATTGTGAACCAGTACAGACTCAATTTGGTTTGGAAAAAACCACATTTTGAACGAGTTTAGCTTAGATTAATCAAGTTTGAAACCATGCCTAAGCAAGGTATATATATATATGTATGTATATATTTCTGCATCACCATTCTTCCATGATGACAAGACTCGCACCACTTATTTTGGAGTATCATACATTCTCAACCAAAACTGACATTATCCATCAATCCCATTAATATCATCCATAACTGCATTTTCCTTCTCTAGAAACGAGGTGCGACTTGTACAAATACAAGTTTGACGTATATCCAGTTCCTCAGAAGACTCTGAGGTCTTTCAACTTTCTGAAACGACTTCAATTTTGACTTGATTATTGAACTCAACTCCCACCTATACATACACCAGAAGTTTGTCCGTGCATGTTTAATTAATTAGTACCCCACAAAAACAAGAATCTCGTAGCCTATCGGAAATTATGAGGAATGGGACAAGTCTTCCGGCATTCTATTTGTTCAATTGGCGCATAGTAATTATCATACAGTTAATTACATCGAAAGAAATTCAAAATTACACCAAAAATTAAAGGAATTTGTACTAAACGTGTCCCAATTTTTGGGTTAATAATATTAATTGGTTTGTTTGGATACCTTCTTATCTCAAATAAAATTTTGCTTGCATTATAAATATATTTTTCAACTCATTTTTTTAACATTTTCAATCACTCTTTTATCTCACGTACATCATATCATAAAAAGTATTATAATAATTATTTTAAATAATACTCTATCCAAACAAATCCGTTAATATTTACCTCACTCACTGAGGCCTTTGTGACACATCATACATGAATCTTTGACCAGTGACCAACAGGAGGAGTGTCAAGGGAGAGAGATATGGCCTATTCTATCCAGTTATTTGGCCTAGTCAAAGTAGGACAAGTCAACCAACAACAGCAAAATAGAGGTCAATATGTCAAATGTAAAGCATGGGACAAAACAATTATGACCTAACAGCAATAACGTTAAACCCGGGGGGCCAGCTGTCCTTTTTCTGGGTCGTGAGAGTAAGCAAAAGTCATATGCAATTTGCATTAGAAACCATGCACATGAAACTATCGATCACGACGTGGCAAGTTACATGGGAGCAGAGACCGTTGGAAAGAGGAAAAAGTCATATCCTGCATATTATGAAGATAATTGCTTGCCTTTTGAGCAAGCAAGAAAAAAAGTGTAAAGTGCAACTGCCTTTGACTATTATGATAAGAAAATCTCAAAGTTTTGATCGGATGGAAACTGGCTTTCAAACCTTCAATTAATTCATTCAAATGAATTGGTTACCAAAACGTACTCAGTCAAGACAGCAGCAAAATTATCCAGGGTCAAGGGCTGATAGTATAGCGATATCCGCTCTGCTGTAGTGCAGACTTGCTGCAGCTGTCTCCTGAAGTAATGGTGGGTAAATTGATTATTTTTCTATTCGGTCAACATTATACTGTAGAAAACAGGCATTGTTTATCCAGTTTGTGAATTTTGATGCTCTTTTCATTCATTCCAACTCGATAGGAGTTCCAACAATTTTGGGACCATCTTTTCTTCAAAACCCAACATTTGTCTCCAAGAAATCTTCAAATCTTGCATGCACTGTCAAAAATGACAATTACATAGGCCCCAAAATTTAGTTTTGTGTACTTAATTGTAATAATATCATGCACCTGTAAGTTCAAACCATAAAATTCACATACTCTATGCTTCACATCGATCAGGCTTCGGTAATGGACAAGGTATATGGACTTTCCATTTTCGAAGGGCTAGGTATACATATTAGAAAAGTAATAAACTACCTAGGATGGAATTTTTTACACAGAATCATTGAAAAAAAAAAACATCATTACGGTTTGAAGGAAGCATTATTCTCCGTTTTGAAAACTTCAATTTTCAACTCACTAGAATTCTTTCACTAAATGCAAACCCCAAAGGTCAAAGCAATTTGCAAATAAAGCACAATAACTGCCCATGGTTTATGGTCATTGACATGGAGCCTTGACCTTGAATGGCAACCTTAGGAGTTAGGACAATGCCATATGTGAGAATTGAAGCAGCTACAAAATGTTCCGGAT